GTTGCATGGGGGCGAAGATCTGATTCATTTAAGCGACAACTTCTTGACATGATAAACATCAGAGTGAAGGAGGAAAACTTCTTAGAACTTTTATATTTGGGACAGGGATGTAAGAAGTGTTTTCTGTCTTGACCTTTCCTTTCATATTTAGGTGCATTGTTGCTCTTTTCTGTCTTCCAACTTTTATATTTAGTTTTTCAGTTACTCTTCCCATACTTAGTTTTCCACATTTTGTTGAGCTAAAGTAGTCTGCTGTTGGGACAGAATGCAGCAGGGATCTGTAGTAATCCAAGTTGTTCCTGTTTTTTTTTTGTTTTGTTTTTTTTTTAGCTTGGTCTTCCCACTGACTGATTGGGTTTTTTTAGTTCCTGGTCTAGGAGCTAGAACATCTTTTGGTTTTGTTTGCTCTGCCAAGGGGCTGGAATTTGTAAGCCCTTAGAAGGATGGTATTTTGGATTAGATTGTGTTTTATTTGGACTGAGTTTTTGATCTTTCTGGTGCTTTGTGATAGAGAAATGTTTTGCTACTTTGGTTGATGTGACATTACAAAAAGCCACATGCAACTTAAATATTGATTAGTGAGGAGAAACTAACCAGTTCTGTTGTTGCTGGAGATAATGGAATTCTGGAGGCTAAAGTTGGGAGGGGGCCTGTAAGTAACCTGAGCATTAAGCTTTGGATAAACTTGCTGTTGTGTGCCTGAGGCAGTGTGGTGTTTAAATTTTTTGGTTAGAGGTCTGCTGACAGGGAAGGACAGAGACTGTCCGTGGGAACACACATCTGCAGTCAAGTAGTTTGAAGATGGGTAGCTTCGCCAAAAATGCTGGCAAACCTTAATGCGTCAGCCAAGCCAAAGTCATCTTTGAGGTTAAAAAAAATATGATGATGTGATTGCTTACTGCTGCTACAGACCAGTATTTGATTTCAGGAAGATAGTCCATCTCTTTGTCATAATTTGCTGCAAAATTGCAATTGGAAACTTATCCGGTAACACCTGAATTAATTTACAGTCAATCAAAAGCTGGTGTTATGCAATAACTATTACATTTTAATGGAAAAATTGCACACATGCAGACCTATTTAGGAGATGTGTAAGATTAAAAAAAATATGTAAAAGTGCCTGTAAGATTTGAGAGGTACATGAAACTGTATTCCATTGCCTTACTGGATATTTTGTGTTTAAAAAAAAAAAAGCCTGAATCAACAGTGCAATATTATAAGTTCTAAACTGGAACATAAGGAATGTGCTAAGAGCTTAATACACTAACACCTTTTCTAAAATTTAATGGAAAGTAGAATATCAGGGATTTCATTAAAAAAGGTGAAGGTAGTAGAAGCTTTCTAGTTAAAGGCAGTCATTTGGGTCTAATTCGCGGCATAGACGTAATCACCATGCTGTTTATATAAAATGGCTATAAGTATGAAATGGCTGAGTGTAGTCTTCGATTATGGCAGTATTCTGCCCCTTGCATATCAGATATGCTCATAATTTTGTATCAGTCTATAATATCTTTCACTTGGATGATTGTAAAGGCAATTTTAAAGTCACTTAGGGAGCCATCTTTAGAAATGCATGTAGAAAGCCACATATTTTGCTGACAGATCAATTGATAGGCCTGTAGTTGAGCAGCAGTTGGCATATACCCAGTATGTAAGGGACAGGAAACCTTTGTTTTCCAGTGTAATGCAATTGGAGTTAGAAGTAAGAGCACAGAAGACATGAAAGAAAATGTAAGGTTTGCCAGGATTGTCGCAGAATATTTTAAATGAACTGGCTTGCCTGATTAAAAATATTGTGTGGACAAAGTTTAGGCAAGTTCATCTTGTGGTTGGTGTGCACTACACCAGCTGCTATTCTGAGTCTGCTAATTTCAAAAGATTTTTCCCCATCTTACAAAGGATTGAATTTATTTTCAAAGGCATATTTAAACTTTATTTAATGCTAAAATATTGATGGCAACTTCAAGCTCCTGTGGATGCCTTGGAAACAGCAGAAGGCTATTTCAGAGGCAACCAGGATATACACAGGGAATTGCTTATAAGGACTTAAGGCTATGATCAAAATTGTCATTTGGGGATTTGTAGGAAGTTAGGTTCTGATGTAGCCTAAGGGAAGAGCATTCCTAAAGAGATCAGAACAGACAAATCTGAGGGCATGCTGTTCTTTCAGGTGGACTTGAATATTCCCATGAAATGAATCTCTGTTTCAAAGCAAGTATCTTCTGCTTGAGATGTTGCAAAAACTAAAAGATGCAACACAGGAGTCCAGTAGTAAAGATAGACTAGGTCTTTCTGTCTTAAATACACTTAAGGATGGCATACTTCTAAAAACTAAACCCATCTGAATCTTCACAGGTAAAGGAGCAGAAAATCATATATGTATGCTCAAAGCTGCTGTTGCAAATGGGGAAACAGCATATACCAGGCAAATGTAAAATCCATTCACATGGTGTCATTAAGACCCAATGAAGATAACATAGCATCTGATGAAATGAGCTCTTGCTCCTTTAACTTTATCTAACTTCTCAGGGGCCAGGGGCTGCAGTTGGTGGGAGCACAGCCCCCCCAGCTGCACTGAATGTCTATGACCTACTTCCACTGCATCAAATGCTTGTGGGCCTACTGGTGTTGTCCCTCCTCTTCCCCCACTGCTCCCCAGCACCACCCACCTCACCTCACCATCCCAGCCATAGGCTCCCTCACTACACCATGCCGCTCAGGCACCCTGGGTCACAGGCTTCCTTGGCACTGCAGACTGTCCCGCACAGTAGCACCCTGGGATGAGGACAAGCTGGAGGGATGGGAAGCCTGGAGACCCTGGCAGCTGCAGCTGGAGAGGGGAACAGCAACCTGTTGGGGGGGGGGGGGTTGTTGCAGCTTGACAGTTGTGGGTGGCAGGCTGCCTTTTGGACAGTTGAGTTAGTCTGTGAAGGGTACCTCGACCCTGGTTTTCGCCTGATTTAGATGATGAACTTGGCTACCTCCCCCTCTCTGCTCGTAGATAACGTAGGAATGCAGTCTACCAATACGAGCACTTCTAACAGGTATTGCATGAAGAGCTCTAAATATTTATGTTAAAATGATGACAAACTATCAGTAAAAAAATAGTGCCTGTGCATGTACTAAAGCAGTTTTTTATATATATATATATAGCAGTTATTTGTGTGCACTGGCTGTTTGTAGTGCTCTAGTCACCTGGCTGTGAAGATAAGCCCCAATCTCTACAATTGACTATTCAAAGTAGCTTTTTTGGGCAGCGTCTCCTCCCTCAATCATAAAGGAAGAAATTACACATCTGCCTGCTGGTGGGGAGTATATCCTTACTTTTGATGTTGGTGGGATTAAAAGGGCCTCCTTGAAGAGGTGTGGCTCGTGTCTGGTAAGAGCACAGCCGGGGGCCAGTGCTGGTGCCTAGACATGGTCCGTGCTTGCTTTCCCCTGCACGGGGCGCGTGGCCGGGGCTGGTCCTGAAGTGGGTGGAAGGTGCATCCTGCCCCGTGCCCCGACTCGTTCCCGGGCAGGGGCAGAGCCTGTGACCACTGCCCCGGCCCGGCGCAGCGCGGCGCAACTCAGCAGAAGTTCCCAGTCTGCAGGGGCGGAGCGGGGCTGGGCTGAAGCTGCCCCAAGCACGCAGCGCGGCGCGGGCCCGCCCCC